GAGCTCATCCTCCTCCTGATATCACTCCAGGATGTTCTGTGTTACAGTGGATAATTTTAGCTCCCTTTTTTTTAAGGGAAAGGAAGCTGCTTCCCAGGAAAAAGGAACTTTGCAAGCATCCTTCCAGACCCCAGGAATCACAGAATTCCCTCCTGACACGTCTCCAAAGGAATGTGCTCCCGGACACCCCCACAGCACAAATGTTAACAAATTCCCGGGAACGGGGAGCCTTTCTCCAGGAAAATGGTGTAGGTGGAAGAAAGGCATCTATTGTTTTCCTGATGTCACCACCCCGCAGAGCTGAGGAGTCTGGAGTTTTTGGCAGCAAAGACCTCCAACGTTCCCCAAAATCATCTTCTCTCCGTGACGTTGGCACCGGAGTCACCGAGAGGCCAAAGCAGGAGGGGAGCTGTGTCCAACCCATCCCAGCACGGTTCTGCTGGGAGAGGTCATGGACTGCACCTGGATCAGGCAATTCCAGGCACAAATCCAGGCTGGATGGAGAATGAGAAGAGACCGGAGGGGAAGGGTTTGGGGGTGTTGGTGGATGAGAAGAGAAGGCTCCAGGGAGAGCTGAGAGCCCCTGGCAGGGCCTGAAGGGGCTCCAGGAGAGCTGGAGAGGGACTGGGGACAAGGGATGGAGGGACAGGACACAGGGAATGGCTTCCCACTGCCAGATGGGATACTGGGAGGGAATTCCTGGCTGTGAGGGTGGGGAGGCCCTGGCCTAGGTTGCCCAGAGAAGCTGTGGCTGCCCCTGGATCCCTGGAAGTGTCCAAGGCCGGGTTGCAGCAACCTGGACTAGGGGAAGGTGTCCCTGCCCATGGCAGGGGTGACACTGGATGATCTTTAAGGATCCCTTCCATTCCAAACCATCCCAGGATTCCATGATAATGTAACCAATGGCTTTGAAGCAGAAATCACATCCCCTCTGCACGTCCAACAAACCCAAATTCACAAGGAATTCCCTGCCAACTCAGAGGATCTGAAGGGCTTTGCTGAATCCCAGTCCCTCCATGTCCTCCAGGGACAGGGAGCATCCCGAGGGGATCAGCTCCAGCCCTGCTCCTGCAAGGACAGCAAAAAGACATTTCATGGAGTCCCAGAAGCAGAAACGCTTCCGGTTTCCATAAGGGAAGAGCTGATGGCAGCTCTTCCAACACATCCTGTCAGGATCCAAACCAGCTCCCAACTGCTGCATGACAAGACTGGAGTCAGATCCTTAACCTGCAGCTCTCCTGCCTTGCAGATCTCCCAGCTCCTCCAAGCAAACAGATATCCTCTCTCCTTCCGAGCTGGTTTTCCTGGAGGATCTCCCAGACACGCTCCAAGATCTGCGGAGCAGCCAAGCACTGGGAGGATGAAGGAGCTGCAATCAGGCAGGCAGCCCGAGCTGTCTGGAATTCCACTGATCCAGAGGTTCCTCCACTTCTGGGTCAGCTCTTGGGGGTTTGCTTTGGAAAACAGCCTGCTTTGGGAAAACTGGGATTAGAAGGGAAGAGAAGCCAAGAGGACTGTCACCTGTCAGTGACAGGCCTGCCCATGGAACAAATAATACAGCCTCTCCAGAGCTTGGAATTACTTCAGTTTTCCAGGCCTGGATTGTATTTTAAGAGACTTTTCTATTTGGTCTTGGAATTAGTCATGGAAAAATGGCATTGGAGCAGTTCAGGCCCGAAGGAGGAGCTGCAGCAACAAGAGGGGCTCCCGTTAACTCCACTCTCCAAGGATTTGGAAAGGCACAAACCTTCTCTCTTCCAACAGTTTGGCCAAGATTCCTGGAGGTGCCAGCCTGGCACTTGGACCTCCCTCCTCTGGCTCCGAGCAGGCAAGCAGGAGCAGGAGCTATAAATAGGATATTATTCATTTTATTCCCCCTAAATTTGTCAGCGAAGAACAGGATGAATATTCCTCGCCTGTTTGACCGTGGTGCATTCCACAGGATTCCAGCAGGATGTGTCCCCAGGGAGCACTTGTACCTTGGCCTGAGGCAGGGACAGCAAATCCCAGCAAACAGAGCTGCCCGGGCAGTTTCCATCCTGGCAGGATATTTGTCTTCCCAAAACAATCCTCGGGAAGAACACGGACACTGAGGGGCTTCTTCCCTGCCATGGAACAGGTCAGGATCTCCAGGTCAGGGAATAACATCCCTAACACCTCCAGGAGAGCTGGAGAGGGAGCTGGGACAAGGGATGGAGGGACAGGACAAGGGGGAATGGCTTCCCACTGCCAGAGGGCAGGGTTAGGTGGGATATTGGGAAGGAATTCCTGGCTGTGAGGGTGGGGAGGCCCTGGCACAGGTTGCCCAGAGAAGCTGTGGCTGCCCCTGGATCCCTGGAAGTGTCCAAGGCCAGGTTGGACAGGGCTTGGAGCAACCTGGGCTAGTGGGAGGTGTCCCTGCCCATGGCAGGGGGTGGCACTGGGTGATCCTTCAGGTCCCTTCCATCCCAAACCAGTCTGGGATTCACACCAATACACACTTTAATCCTAAAAAAAACCAGTGCTCTCCATCCCAAACCAGTTTTGCCACAGAATTCCCTCAGGTTCCAGCACAGGCTATCCCAAATACACTCTGCGGAAGGTACAACCACTTCCAAGGTGGATCACCACCCTCAGTCCCTCTTCCCAGCAGGCTACAGCTGATCCAGGGAGCAGCCCCCTATATCCATGGGGTGCTCCCTATCCCACATCCTGCCTCCATGACAGGCACAACCCTCTCCAGCTCCTCTCCCTGAAAAGTTTCAGGATGAGTAGGCTGGGAAGCACCTTCCCACTTAATTAAACTTCAGAGTTAATTCTGGAATGACTCAACATTGCTCCCACCCCACAGACTCCTCCGAGTTTGGAATCCTGAGGGATTCCAGCAACTCCTGCCCGGCTCTCCGAGCCCTCCCAGCCATTCCCTGCACAGCCAGGGACCCAATCCTGAGGATTTTGCACAGCTACGGATTATTTCTTTGATGTAGGAAAGGAATCTTCTCCCGTGGGTGGGAGCAGTTTGATCCATAAACCTGCACCAACCCCACCCACAGGCCCTCACAGACCCCCCCACCAGGGCTGGGGAGGTCCAAGACCCCTTGACACCCCACTGAGGGGGCTTGGGGGGGTCGTCTCAGCACCACCTCTCTCCACTGACAAATCCATGGGAAGGGGGGACCCTCAGCTCCCCTTCCTGCCCATCCAAGAGGGTCTCAGCCACCCCCTTATCCCCCACCAAAGGGGCTCCAGGGGACTCCAGCTGCCTCATTCCCTCTGGAAAAGAGGTTGGGAGGGTCCCTCAGTGCTCCCTCAGGGACTGGGGTCACCCCCCAGGTCCTCCCTGGGGTCTCCCCTTACAGGCTGGGGTCTTCCCTCGGGGGCCTGGGGGTTCCTCAAGTCCGTTCTCAGAGTCTGGGGTCCCCCCACAGGGGGACACAGGGGTCCCTCAGCTCCTTCTCAGGGGTCTGGGGGGTCCCTCAAGTGCCCCCTCAGAGGCCAGGGGGTCCCTCAGCTGCCCTTTCTGAGATTGGGGTCCCCCATCTCCCCCACAAAGGGCCAGGGGGTCCCTCAGCCCCCATCAGGGGCCGGGGGGATCCCCAGCTCCCTCTCAGGAGCCAGGTGGTCCCTCATCCCTCCCCTCAGGGACCAGGATCCCTCAGCCCCCCTCAGTTCCCCCCCAGTGACCGGGGGGTCCCTCACCTCTCACCCCTCGTGTCCCCCCCACACGTCCCGCACCTTGAGCGTCACATCGCAGAGCTTGCCCTGCCGCCGGATCTCGCCCATGACGCCGTAGCCGCGGCTGGGCAGGTCTCCCACCGAGAAATGCACCAGGTCCTCGGGGTCCAGCTCGGGCTCCGCCGCCGCCGCCGCCTCCAGCATCGTCCCGGCCGCTCCCGCCGCGCTTCGCCCCCGCCGTGCGCTGGCCCCGCCCGGCCGCCGTACCCGCTCCGCTTCCGGGACGGACCGGAAGCCGCCGTTGCCATGGAGAACAGGAAGTGGACGCTGCCATGGCGACACCGGACGCCACCTCGAGCCGGAGCCGGAGCCCAAGCCCGGGCAAGGGGATGACGAAGGAGTCGCCGTCTCGCTCCGCAAGGGTTAGTCGGTGCTGCTGGCTCCGGGAGAGCGGTCACACGGGCGGCATCAGCCCCCCAGGCATCGCTCTCCCCCTCACAGCATCCTCCCTTCTCCCCCCCCGGAACGGTTTGGGATGGAAGGGAGCTTAAAGATCATTTTTTCCACCCCGTGCCATGGGCAGGGACACCTGCCACTATCCCAGGTTGCTCCAACCTGGCCTGGGACACTTCCAGGGATGGGGCAGCCACAGCTTCCCTTGGAAAGTCCCAACCCTTCCAGACGGATTTTGCAGAAATTCCTGCCCAAATCTTGTCACTCGAGGTGTGGGAAGGGAACCTCTCACTTCCAAGGCTTTGGAGAGATCGCTCAATCCGTGTTTGGTGCAGCAAAACAGGATCAGTTGGTCCGTGTGTGTCCAGGTATTGTGTTTTTCCCATGGAATGGGGTCTGTGTTTCCCTGGCAGGAGGAGGTTGAGCAGCTGGAAAGACAACAAGGTTCTGCCTCCTCCTTCCAACAGGTAATCCCAGCTGGACACAGAATTCCAGGCTGGTTTGGGCTGGAAAGGACCTAAAGGATCATCTAATTCCAACCCCCTGCCAGGGGCAGGGACACCTTCCACTAGCCCAGGTTGTTCCAACCTGGCCTTGGACATTCCAGGGATGGGGCAGCCACAGCTTCTCTGGGCAATTCCCAACTCTTGGAGATGGATTTTGCCCAAAGTCCTGCCCACCTGAGCTGTTGGAAGGGGAACTTCTCAATTCCAAAGCCTTGGAGAGATGGCTGAATCCATGTTCAGTGTGGCAAAAGGGATCGGTTTTCCCGGGTCTCCAGGTGTGTTTTTCACATGGAATGGGGTCTGTTTTTCCCTGGCAGGAGGAAGA